AAGTTGGTTTACCTTTACACAACGCTATGTAACAACATGTCAACCACATAGTGCTAGAAAGGCGCAGATACAGGTATGTGTAACCCGCTCACTGAACCTCCTCATCCAACCTGTCTGATGAAGTGCTCCTGGGGTCCCGGGTCCAGAGAGTGGGTGCTGCAGGGAGGTTTGGTCAGGAGTGGCGGTACCTCAGTGGGACCAAGTTCCTGAATCCTGAGTGCTTTGCAGTGTTCTTGTGTTGTGTTGACAGTAAGCACATTGGCATCCATCATTCACATCCCTGTAATAAAAGTGTAGCCAATAAAGATCTGTCCATGACTGGTCTTTCTGTTCTCCAACAGGTACAGGATGTGAGGAGGTGGACCTTTGCCAGCATGTGTCACACAGCGGGTCCTTCACCCGGAGTACGCCAGCACGCATCGTTATTATGGTGCAGCTGCTAGGATGGCGTTAGTAATCACTTCAGACGGCTCACTCATCACAATTTCACAAGCTGTTCCTTAACATTATGACATTTTTTAATGTGCATTTAAAGTTGTGAAATGATATCCTAGACCAGCAGACCATCTCTTATCACGTGTCAAATCATATTTTCAGATATGAACCCAAGGATAGTAAATCATTGTAATTTAGAAGGATTTATAGTAATTAGCTATCTATTAACAATTGTTTACAATGATTATGTATTCACAATATGTATAGTGACTATTTACAATGATTATGTATTTACAATGTTTACAATATTTACAATTATTTATTCACTATATTTACAATGCTAATTCATTCACAGTAATTCCAGTGACTATTTACAATGATTATTCTGATTCCAACTGTGACAGGCCAGTGCTTCCTGAAGATCAGGCCTCTCAAATGGACAAAGGGCCTCGCTCTCTTCCTGAAAGAGGACTTGGATCGACAGCCACTTCCTCCAGGAGCTGTTGTAAAGTGTGTCCACACAGTAAGGACATGCAGAACAAGTTAAGGCATCAAATTGCTTGCATACTATTGTCTGATGTGATTATGTATCCTAAGTAAGATTTAGACTTACAAATACATTTTCCAATCCTTTTAATTGGACGTTTGATACACATGATAAAATAAGTCATATTTTTTTCTGTCTTGAATACCTACATGCAGGGTTCCCGCTGGAATGGTCCCAATATATGGCTGTCCTTTCCACTGGGACCTGTGGAGGCAGTGGTGACATACCTAAGCGAATGCTTTTGTATTGATAACAATGTACACTGAGCAATAGTTCAGTGATTACACATGACTTAATTACGTGGCTGACTGACAGGAGAGTTCCAGCAACATATTTCTCCAGTGTGCATGTGTGTGTGCAAGTAGGGCAAGTGCTGAGCAACTGAAGCAAGTTGTCTTCAAACATGATGTACTTCCTTGCACTGTAATGTCGAGTGCTGGACATTTAAAGAACAAATTAAAACAGAAATATGACATATATTCTTGGTTTTCCAAACAAACAACAATGGAGGCTCATCCAATAACACAGACATATTACCTGCAAAGATCCTGGGCACTACAGTCCTCCTGAGTGGCATCAGGCACATAGGTGGAGCCAGACATCATCACAGTGTCCATGGCGCCGTCAGGGGTCACCATGCGGCCCGGGCTCATCGGCGAGTCCTCCGCTGCTTCACTCCTGATCCTTTTCATCAAGGGTGTGGATGCGGGCAGCGGCACGTCAAGCTCACACTGACCTGAAGTGGAAGGTGACGCGGCCGTCGTCGCCAGGGGACGCACTTGGATTGCTAATTGACACAATAATACGAAACTTAGTGCAAGTTGCTGCCCAACACTGCACATATTGCTGTTGAAAATGCATCTCCATGTTAGAAGATGACTTCCATTTTGTTAAACATATCTAATGTCAAAAGAAAACTTTTAAAACATTTGTCCATAGCAAACGTTAACTTTATTTGGCGATACCTTTACTCCCATGTGTTTTTGGCGGCATGGACGCCGGCGCTTTTTTGAGCCATTTCACAGTGACAGCTGGCTAAAAACCTGTCATGGAGAAATTAAACAGAATAAAAAAAGAAATCTGTATTTCATAACCAATGAACTTACATTAGCTACATGGGCAGTGGTGGCCGTTTGTGAACTGAAGGTCGCCGGTTCGTTGCCTGGACAAGGCGTTGAAGTTTCCCTGTCGAGATCCGTTTTCCTGTTGCCAAAGACATTGCAAAAATAAACATTACTATTGAAAAATAACTTATTAACATGAATAATCAAAGACAAATACTATGAATGTCTATCGATTGATTTGGTAAATAACTTCTCTAATTGCATTTCCTTCCCTCTACAATTTACCAACTCAATCGTAGACATTCATATGTGTTTGTTTCTTTGATTATTCATGTTAATATATTTGTATTGCTCAATCCTTTATTTTTTTGATTTGGTTGGCAGCGGGGTATGGAAACCAACAGGGGGAAACAAATTAAACACAACACCGGTAGGAAACATCTGGGGGAGTAACTCCCCTCCCTCCCCCACCATTGGAAGAGCCCATGGCGGACTCAGGCTGAAGGGCAGGGGCAGAAAAAAAAGGGCACCTACTGCAGGACATGGGGCGCCAAAAAGCTATGATCCATCACGCATGATGAAATAGTCTTCATCCTTTATTAAGATTAACATCTTATTAGGCGATCCAAATTGAAAGTATAACCACACCACTGATAAAACACACAGGGAACTATAAACCTTTAAAACGTTTATTTCACAAACAACTCTCAAGCCTTAACAGTAGCAAAGGTGACATGACGTTGTGGCAGGTTTCGCCCTCACCACACGCCACCGAAGTGGCTTCCTTTGGGGCCCTCCGACACAGGACACGGGTAGATGGTAGTGCAAGATGTTTATTGGAGTTTTCAGGCAGATGGTATTCGCCGAGCTGATGGTACAACTGCCATGGCTGTGGCTCCTCCTCGAGTGTGTGTGTTGATGGCTGGTTTATCCTGGGTGCCATGATTGCTCTGCACCACAGGTGTGCAGCCCCACCCAGCCAGAGTCCAATCAGTCTGACTCAGGCCAGGTGAGGCTGTAAACCAGCCATCAACAACACACACTCCACCTACACCCTCCACAGACGTTCTCTCATTTTACGCACCGGACGCACTGCATAGCACTTACGTAGCCTCTAGTCCAACATCCATAGGCCAGATAGTCCTATCTGGGCATCCATATACCATCTACAGTATAATGTGTGTGGCTAGAGGACCGTACGGGACCAGGGGTCAGGTAGGGTTTAGATGTTAGTTACATGGGAGTCTATCCTGAGAGAAGAGTCTCCATGGAGGACCAGATCAATCTGACACACTTGATGTGATCAACTGAACTGAAAAGAAGACAAACGTACACACGTCCGATTTTGATGACCGCACCCGGTATCACTCTACAACTGGACAGACGGGTTTAAGGAATCTGAACGATGCTGTTCTAATGTCTGTCTGTCTCTGTCTCTATCTGTCTGTCTGTCTGTCTGTCTCTCTCTCTCTATTCTCTCTCTCTGCGAGACAAGCCAGTACATCGCTAGCAGTGAGAGGACTTACCTTTATCCTCATCTCCTCACTGTTGCAGCTTTGGACCCAACGTTTCAAAGCGCTGCCTCTCGCAGCATCACATGTTATCCACTTCTCCATTAGAGGGGATTAGAACCTATTTGGGCATTCATCATGTTTTCCCACAGCACTGCATCCCATTGTCTCTACTGGAAAGGGCATCACCCTTTGGGACACTGTGACGTTGCAGCGGTATAGAGGGCACTTCATAACGGCACCCTTTTCCACTGGAAGGGCCCCCATAGGGAACGTGAAGATTAGACCATTGTAAGGGCCCCTTATAGGGCACCGCATCACATGTTCTCCACTACGACACTCATTAAGATCCAAAAAAGGGGCTAAAAAAATTCACCACGCCAGGAAGGGTGAAGGCAATCGGGTCGGCCGGCTAATTCTTTCAACAAGAGGTGAAATGAGATGTCAATCAGCATCAAACTACCAGTAGCAAATTACTTTTTTGGGTGGCACCTGGGGTGGCCAATCAGATATCAGAGGTGTCAACTGCCACCCTGGACACCCCTTTGGGTCCGCCCCTGGTGGGGTGGGGTCGGGAGTGGCCTTACCACGGCAACCTACCTGTGTCACAACAGCACAGCTCCTCCCCTGCACTCAGCTTTACCTGCACAGCTTCGCTGAGAACACAACACACCTTACTCTGCCTTAAAGGTGTGCAGAGTCAATCAATATTTCATGGGAAAAGACACTTTAAGCTTCAGAATCCAGAAACAATGAGCGAGTCCTTGGTAGACAGAAACTTGCTCGGACCCTGTTTGGATCGAGATATGGACCTGGAACATGTGGATCTGGAAAACAGCAATCTGATGACAGGCGACTCTTTTAGCAGGGAACCCATGGACAGCAGCATCGCACCCATGGACACCTTTTTGGATCTAGATTTGACCCTGGAAACCAGCAATCTGATGACAGGCGACTCTTTTACACCCATGGTGTGTGTTAGCAGGGCACCCATGGACACCAGGGAGCTGCCGCCTGTGTCCATGAGAGAGTAGGTCTTCCTGTTGTTTACCTAAACTACCTCTTCCTGTTTACCTAGGCTTAACTATTCAGCTGCAGCCCTGCCGTGGGTGTTGTATTAAGCCGAAAGAGACCAGGGTCTACTTTAACCACCACCAGTCTCTGAACTGCCAGGTGTCCGGTTAACATGAGGACGAGCTTCAAGTAAACAGGCTCTCGCTTGCAGAGAAGGAATGAACTCCTGTCATTAAAAAGCTATGTCGTTCTCCCACAGAAGAAATTATGTGGAACAAAGTTCAAAATACAGAATATATGATAACAAGCATACTGATTACACTGAGGAATAGCCAACAGTGAGTTAGGGTTTAGACCAGTTGCACCAGCGACACAGCAGCGCCAATAAGGTCTCACTTAAAAGATCACTAGCTATTAAACATAGGATTAGGTCTAGTGGTAAGGATGTTTGAATCCCAGCCAAAAGGTTCTGGGTTCGAATGCCAGCAGTCAACCTGTGGACACCCTTGAGCAAGATGTCTAACCTGCTCACATAATGACAATATATCCAAAAGTCTCTTTGCATGGAAGCGACTGCTAAATGACTAATAAGTGTCTGGTTGTTTTCCCACATGGCAGAGAGGACACAGTGGACCACGGAGATTTTAGCAGGAATAAGTTGTTCGACGCAGCCTCTAAAGGAGACCCTGGCCCCCTCAGCGGCCTGCAGCAACACCTGGAGCTCTGCGGCATGAAGCTGACCAGCCCAAAGTACATAGGCAAGTATGGCTGAGGTTCAACCATCTTCCATAGTCACAGGTGGGGAACAGGGGCTTGTTTGGTAGGGTTGTCCACCTGGATGGTGATTTCTTACTATTTAGCATTAATTTAGCGCTTTTATCCAAATAAGTGATTGATGATGTCATTAAGGAGCAGGTAGGGGCATCTTACTCTAGGATGCCCCTAGTAAAGGAGTGTTTATGACTTGCTATTGCTTTCATTTGTGTGTGTGTGCGTGTGTGTGGGTGGTCTTAACAATCTTGCCATCATAGAGTCATAAGATCAGCATGTATAATGTATCATGTTAATGTTGTCTACCTCCAGATGACAGCAATGGTAAAACAGCTCTCCTGAAAGCTGTTCTGCACCTAAAAGATGGAAAAAACGACACCATTCAAGTCCTCCTCGACATAGCAGAGAAATGTGGACATCTCGAGGAGTTAGTCAATGCGTCCTACAACGATGAGTCCTACAAAGGTAGGTCAATTTCAGGTCCGCTGCTAATGACCCAAAGCAGGGATTTATAGGGCCCTAAATCTTTAAATGGGTTTCACCTTCAGAGGACAGAGCAAAAGTAAACCTACGACAGACCCAAACTTTCAACTCCTTCAGTTTAAAACCTAGAACATCACATATAACAACAGCTACATCAAGTCTGAAATGCAATTGATGCAATAAGTAAAACATTGATCTATTTAACTTTCTTAAGCAGAAATGGGAGTATACTCATCTAAACTGAACATGAAGTATGTCAAATGATTGAAGCACCACACACACACACACACACACACACACACATACCTGCTGAGTAAGTTAAAGTGTACAGAAAGAGTGTACAGAAAGGGGTGGCTGGAAGCTATTGCTTTAAACTTGGCCTCTGTTCCAATTTAAAAGTTATTTCTGCCCCGGCTGAGCAGCAAAGCAGTGGGTCCCGTTTGTCGACTCCAATGCAAAAGACAACAGACCTTTCTTTTTTACATGAGAATCACAAAAGCTGTGTCTCTCTTCTCCTGTCCCAGGCCAGACGGCCCTGCATGTTGCCATCGAGAGGCGGAGCTTCGACCAGGTGAAACTTTTGCTGCAGAAAGGTGCAGAAGTGCAGGCCAAAGCAAATGGACTCTTCTTCCAGTACAATTCAAAACAGGGCTTTTATTTTGGTGAGTGCAACCAAATATTTGTCTTTCTAATGCTACAGGCAGCAAATGTTGGGTATATTTACTTGACAAACGACCAGTGTTGGGAACGTTACTTTAAAAAAGTAATTAGTTATAGTTACTCACTACTTGATCCAAAAAGTAACTGAGTTAGTAACTGAATTACTTCATAATAAAAGTAACTAGTTACCAGGGAAAGTAACTATTTGCGTTACTGTAAAAGAAAAAGTTGCTATATGTCAAAGAATTTGGATTTTTCTGAGCAGTTTTCACAACGGACTCGCCATCTCCGCTGCTTCTTCGAGTCTGTTTGGTGTGTGTGTGTGGTGCGCGTGGCTTGTGTGTAAAAACACTGGCTCCGATTGGCTACCATGAAACCGACTACCATGACTCTGCCTTAGCCAATAATAGCCATAATCGCTTATTTCGTTGTTAACCCACCCGGTGTCATCACTAGCAGTTTGTGTATGGAGCCCGGGGTGCGTTCGGATTACGCAGTTTATTCAATCAATTCATAGTAACGCACCGCATTTAACGTTCAGTAATGATAACAGCGTTGTAACGACGGAAACAGTAGTTAGTTAGATTACCCCGTTACTGAAAAAATAACGGTGTTACATAACGCCGTTCTTTTAAACGGCATTATTCCAAACACTGCAAACGACAACAACAAATAAGTGATTATTGAAATTGAAGTTCAGCCATTTTCTTTATCTGAGAACATTTGAAGAATAAGAATAGCTTTCTGACACTTCGCTCTGAGGCCAAACCCACAACAGACAAACTGCCTTTTAGACTCTCCTACCGGTGTTTCCACTCACCCTTTCTCTCTATACTATAGGTATGGAGGGAAGCAGTTGAGGGGTTCTCCTAAACCATTTATTATACTTTTATATACTATTATACTTGGCAGACTGGAGATGATCCATACTTTTAGATGCTTTGCACTCTGTCTACCGTTTTTTTTTAGAAACTTAGTACTTGTACTTTTCTATAGCTAATCCAAATTTGACTGTCGGCTATATTTTGATTGTTCTCAACCTTACTTCATGTGGATTTCCATAGAAACATCTTCTAAATGACTGACTATAAATGTTTCCAACAGGCGAGCTCCCCCTCTCATTGGCCGCCTGCACCAACCAATTAGAGGTGGTCTCCTTCCTCATGGACAACGAGTACAGCCGTGCCAACAGCCGGGACTACGACTCCCTGGGGAACACGGTGCTGCACGCCCTAGTGCTCATCGCCGATAACACCAAGGAGAACACAGACTTCATCATCCGGATGTACGATGAGGTGCTCATCCGAGACACCAAGCTGGCCCAGGGAGCGGACCCGCTGGAGGCCATCGAGAACAAGCAGGGCCTGACACCGCTGAAGCTGGCCGCGAAGATGGGGAAGATAGGGGTACGGTTGGTTCTTTAGAGATAGTGCTTAGATTAGGGTCAGATATAGTGTAAGGGTTAGATATCGTATTATGTTAGGGTTAGAGATAGTGTTCAGCTTAGAGATAGTGTAGGGTTAGGATTAGAGATAGTTTTAGGGTTAGAGATAGTGTAGTGTTAGAGATAGTGTTCAGCTTAGAGATAGTGTAGTGTTAGAGATAGTGTAGGGTTAGAGATGGGTTTAGGGTTAGAGAGCATGTTAAAGTTAGGGTTAGAGATAGGGATTGGGTTCTTCACAGACTACCTGTATGCCCCATTCCGGTGAAACGTAACACTGTAGTGTTGATATTCAATTCCTATCTTGATTGCAACATTGCATACCTCCACCTGAATGACAACACTGCCATGTTGTTTAGTCCTTCTACAGACATACCTCATCTTTCTTTATGAGACATTAAACCCCCACTCGCTAGATGTGGTAGCGTGTAAGGACCTGTCTGGTGTGTGGTAAGGTAACACCCATCTTGTCATATCTAATGTCTCTTGTGCTTCTGTGGTTCCTCGCTACGCAGCTGTTCAGACATATGGTGCAACGGGAGTTCACTGACCACGAGACCAGGGCGCTCTCCCGGAAGTTCACTGACTGGATCTACGGGCCCATCCACTCCTCGCTCTACGACATGACCTCCATCGACACCAGTGAGCCAAACTCAGTCCTGGAGATCATCGTCTTTGGGAGTGCCATCGAGGTATAGAGGGAAGGAGTTGAGGGGTTCTCCTAAACCATTTATTATACTTTTATATACTATTATACTTGGCAGACTGGAGATGATCCATTGAATTCGTTCTGAGATTAGTCCCCCCATGTTAATAACAGAATATGCTCCTCTGTGATGGTTAGTGTGTTGGTTATCTGGTGTATTTATTTTTGCAGTTTATCTTTAGTTGGTGACATTCTTTTTTTTTTTTGTAATTTGAATGACAAAAGGGATTCAATATGGTTGATTTTTGCATGCCTTTTGGCATACTTGTCCTCATACCTTCAAAATGCTAACCATGGAGTATTTTAGGTCTCCTTAATAAAATACATTCATACAATTTATTTGTCCACTTATCTTTTTATACTGAAATGTGTTATTTGTTGTCTGTGGAAACTTTATGTGATTTGCTGTGCGGTTTTATCATGTCAGGTGACACCTGGTAAAATAGGTTTATAAAATAGGTAGGTTTACTAATTATTATTCTTTTTAAATCATTAAAATGCAGTGGCGTGTTTGTAGCTATAGGGTTGAAATGTTTCCGGTGTTGATGCTGACTGACCTACTTTTGACCTCAGAACCGTCAGGAGATGCTGCAGGTGGAGCCTCTACACAGCTTGCTGGAGGAGAAGTGGGAAAGGTTCGCCTCCAAGTTATTCCTGGTCGCCTTCCTGGGCTACCTGGTGTACCTGGTCATCTTCACCACCGTCACCTTCTACAGGAAGGAAGGGCAGGTGAGACACACACCTTGTCATTTATGTGATTGAGAAATGCTCTGTAAATGGTAAATGGACTGCATTTATATAGCGCTTTCTCAGAGGTATGACCACTCCAAAGCACTTTACAACTATTGCCTCACATTCACCCATTCATACAGACATTCATACTCCGATGGCGGGTCTCGCCGGGACACCAGCTAAGGGACACCTCGGCACCTAGCTAGGAGTAGCCGGGAAGCGAACTAGCAACCTTCCGATTACTAGGCAACCCGCTCTACCTCCTGTGCCACTGTCACCCCTGTGACACCCTAAATGTAACATTGACATTTAGTCATTTATCCCGCACTTGTATGCAAAGCGACTTTATGAGTGAGCCCGAGAACAATCAGAGCAATCCAATGCAAATATCGGAGTTGCTACGGAAGAATCCAAGTGCTGATGACCTAGTTTCTAAAAAAACAAGAGTGCAGAGTAGCTCTAGGAATCAGAGAACAACCGTTACATCAGAGGTACAACATTTCAAGTGCATTTCTAAATTGGCGAGGAACTGTAGTGAACCTCACCGACCGTTTCATGTACAGCCTCCGTTCCCCGTGGAGAACACCACTAAAGACGCCTTTCGCTGCATTGGGGAGCTGATCAGTGCCCTGGGTGCGGTCTACTTTTTCATCAAAGCGGTGAGAGGAATATTCAGACAGCCTGGTTCAGTGTTCAGCAG